AGTTACCAAACGGACTCCGAATTTTTGACGAGCTTATACTCGAATCGAAAGGGCTCCGATGAGACGAAATGTCCAAACGAGCATCCCTCTCCCTCAATATTGATTGCTAGTCTCGCGTAAATCGTATTGAATAACTGGATTGACTGATTTGCAAGAGTACGTTCTGACACGAGTCCCTTATTGAATTAATTGATGCTATTGACACAGACATTTTATTGATTGGACAAATGATATAGATTCAACGAATTGACTAGACGACGCGATTGAGATTGAACTGATAGCATTGATTGATAGACACTGCTACGATGATTGGATATTGACTAGAAGCACATATTGATTGATTGCTGAGACGTATTGATTTATCGATGTTTTTACCGCTGTGATTATTGATTTATCGATGATTTCCGTACTGCATTGATTACTGATTTGATTTCCGCTGTATAGACTTGATTTCACTGATTCTGGATTTCTGCATTGCATTGACTCATTGATCATGTACGATCGATTGATTTGACTTGATTCGATTAACCTGCATATTGTTTTCAATGTCGTGCTTTGATTTCAGTTGTAGGTTTTAGGTGACCTGCTGGGATTTGTAAGCTCATTATATGTGGTTTAAATATTTCAGGTCCGAGCAAGGCAACTGGAATGGAGTTCGATCAGAATGTCAGACGAATCCTTTCACTATTTGATTCTGGGGCGTCACAAGAACACCCTTCACAATATATCTCTCAAGAACCTCACCATGACTTAATTCTCTATGAAATTAAGTTCTTGGTTGATCAAATTGCCGCTGAAGGTTCAGTTTTCGACACCAAAGACATAATCATCTATATTCTAAATGGCCTTCCAAGATCCTATCAATCATTCAAAACTATCATTAGAACGACGCTTACCCCGATCAGTCTTGATCAACTCTATCCCCTTCTTCTCAATGAAGAAATTAACTTAGCATCAGCTGCTATTTGCGTTTTTGTGTCTATCAATCTTGTACTTGTGCTATACTCATCACGCGGAAGAAGCCGTTGCACCAAAGGAAGAAACACACCTACCCCGCAAAATCCAAGTCAACCTCCTACTGCTCCGCCAGTTTTTTTTGTCAAATTTGCCTTAAGAAAGGGCATTTGGCACTTTCTTGCTGGAATCGACTCAACCCTCAATATGTTCCCCCATCCACCAACAATTCCATCATGGCTCTTGTTGCAAGCTCGGACAACTCATACAACAATTGGTTTCTTGATTCGGGAGCGATGTCGCATCTTACAAATTCTCTCGACAACATGTCGATTTCCAATCCATACCAAGGCAGCGACAGTATTACTGTTGGCGATGGATTGTCGGTAAATATTGCTCACAATGGGGCTGGCTTATTGCTAACCCCAACACGTAAGTTTCTCTTATCGCAATTTATTCATACACCTTCGTTGCATTACAATTTACTATCTATCTCTAAATTAACTAAAGACAATGATATCTCTATTGTTTTTAATCCATCGGGATTTACGTTTAAGGATTTGAAGATGAAGCAAGTTCTTCTTAAAGAACTGTGTAACAACGGAATCTACCCTGTTCCAACTATTTCTTCTATGTCTCAACGGTAGGCTTTATCAACTACTGTGGGTCTCCGAAGGGTTTCTGCTCATGTGGTTTGAATGCAAAGGGTATGATCACACTATCCCGTAGGACAAAATGGTCGTAGGCCTTTACACCCGACACAAGAAGGCCGATGGAAGAGCAGATGGAGTAATAGATACGATTAGCCATGGAGGGTAGCGGCTTTCACCTACCAACCTCGATGGATAATAATATATATAACTCTAAATTCACGAGATTTCCCCTATTTGATACATCGGCTCGAATAGGGTTTATAAAGTAAGTTTGCATTCATCATCGTCCTTCAAAAATAATCCTGGTTGCCGAAGGGCCATCCAGGGGAAGTCAAAAATAGGAGACGTAGTACGAAAATTGTTCTCTGTCATCCGACAACAACCAAAAAACAAAACATCATATGAGTAGATTTTGAAAGGTCTTAAAGCTTTTCTGCTTGTGACTTTTAGAGGAGACAGCCCTCTTAATTTTGACAATAACTGTCGCTTGGCAATCAAAGGAGTTGCCAAAAACTCCATCGTTTCTAACCCTCCATAAATAGTAGATGATAGCACATAGAAGCATGAAGCCAAATTTTTTTCCTGTTTTTGTCAATATCCCAATCATCAATGCTGCTAAAAGTTTGCCTGATAGTAGGTCTCAAAAATATGTTACTCATAAGAGGAAAAATGTTCTTAAGGATGCTATAAGTATAGTCACATCCAAATAGAAGATGATTTTGAGATTCCACGTAAGCAAAGAAAGATTCTTACAGGTCAAAGATCCTATCATTCTAGACTTTGACTTCATCGTCCAATAGATTTTTTTTTTTGGGAAAATCTTAATATGTTTTTGGGAAAAGATAGAAATCTTTTGCTCAGCCGTTGACCATACAGAGCCTCCCGCTTCGGAGGATAGGGAAGAAAAGAATCTTCACTATTTTGTCAACATGGTGCGGACGCCCTTATCCTTTTTATATGCAGGTTTCAGGATCCACCGTCCATTCTCTGGATGATAAATCGAGCATTTAAAGAAATATATATTATTTATTTATTTTGTTAGTTTTTTTTTATTTTTTATTTTTATTTATTTATTTATTTATTTTATTTAATTTGGAGAAATATGGATGGAGGACTTAGTTGGATTTACGGCTGAAAACAAACTAAGCAGTGCTGCTAACGCCTTTTAAGGAATAAGCTTGTTAATGAGCACTTAAAACAAACAATCTAGAAAGCATTTACAAGTACTTTTAATTAATAATGTTGAATTAATTTTAAAAATTATTAATTAATGATTATTGTGATAGTAAGTTATAATTAATATAAAATATTTATATTATATTGTTCTTCATTTTCATAATGGATTTAATTGAGCTTCGTAGTGATTATTAATCGAATTTCTTAACAAGCATGTTCACAGTTTTTATACCGAATATGAATTAAGTTTGTTCACAAGCTTTAAATTGATGTTGTCTATGAACATTAACGAGACGAACAAATAGCTATAATCAACTTGTTTGATTACTTAATCAAACAATCATGAATGAATTATAATCGAGTTGAGCTACAAGAAACTTATCAAATGCTACATTCTTTTGTGGCACTACTTGGATTAGCTGAGTTGATTCTTTGCTATCTCGATATTAAAATCAATTAAATTCAACCTATGGATTAAACATTTCAAATGAGATTAATAAAACAAAAAAAAAGCCATTTAAAATGCTATTCATTAGATTTTTTTTTTGGGTGTTAGAGGATGCCGATTAGCGGTTGTGATCTAAATGGTTGATGTTGATTTTGGTTAGCAAAAGCCGATGGTCAAGAAATGTTAATCGATCGAGCTATGACAGTCATGCAATGACGATCATATAACAATAATTATGCGATGTTTATTTGGTGACGATGGTCTGACAACATCAATTAGGCTACAATGATGAGGTGACTGTAGTTCGGTGACTGTAGTTTGGTGACTATATCGATAATTGCCAACATTGCTCTATCTGCTGATATTTCGAAGTGCTATAGAATTCTTCTAATCTCTTAAATCTTTCTAATTTTGGGTTTTCTAGTTCAAAGAATGTGAGTCTATTTAAAATTTTTAAAAATGATATTTGAATATTTTGGCTAGAATGCTCAACTACTCTATTGGATATTTCATGTTGATTTCTTTGATTATAAATTATTTTTAAGATATTTAATTATATTAATGATATTATAATTATTTTATGTTCATCTTGTGAAATTCCTCTATTGGGTCACTCAATTTCGCTATAAGAATATATTTTTCACATTTTGTTTAGTTTGTCAACCTTGTCATAAAGTATTCAACAATGTATTGTGTGTTCAATTTAGGAAGTTTTCATTCAAATTTTGTATTAAGATTTATATTTGGTTAAGTGAATTTTTTATTGGATATATAAGTTGGCCCTTCTTTTTAGGCGACAAAATTTGTGTTATTTAAAAAAAAATTGGGTTACAAAAAATTGCGGTTTAAATCACAAATTTAAAACTTACGAAACACTACCATTGCTTCGAGGCCATTAACATATTAAATTATCTTCAATCATATTCTTGCCCCTTCTTGAAATTGTTTGATCAATCGGGGCAAATCAATTGGTATAAGAATTGAGTATGTTAGACTCAGATTTATTCATGGGCGACATGTTGATCCTACTGACAAATCTATCTAGACAAACATGACAAGTGACAGAAAAGGAGCGATTAGCTGATCTCGTAGAATTCACTAAGTACGAGTTACAAGTCATACTTACATAGTAAGATTTACATAATCAATAAAATTGCCCCAATGGTAGATCTAACACTCTTTTATTATCATTGTTTCAAGATAAATTTGAACATAAGAGATTCATTATTAAGAGCAATATTTATTATTATTTTTTAAAGTAAATTTTTAGTAAAAAAATTAAATTTAGAATTTAAAAATAATTAATTTATCAGCTTATGTCACCGATAAAAACCTTTGTGTTTATGAAGAGAAAGAAAGAAGCATAACTCTCCAAACGCTTAAAACTATAATAATCCTTCTCTCTCCTTCATCAAAATTAAAGAAGCCCTAATTCTATTCTCTCTCATTCATGCGGTCCACACCAAATTCTGTCCTTTGCGGTACTCCCTCCCTCTCTCTCGGTAGGTCTCTCTTTCCTTCATAATTAAATTTGGAAGCACGCGCTCGGAGTATCTTAGAGATATTTAGAAGATAGTTAATGAGAGAAAAGCTTAATTGAAGATGGAGACGTATTAAGAAAGCAAAGATGATGAAGCAAATGAGATCGTTGACGGTTAATTAGAATTAATAGTGTGCTTAAGAGTGGGACGATAATGAGAAGAACAAATTCTCAATCTTTATCAAGGGGAAGAGAGAGAAAGAGATTATTAGAGATTGCAGGGAAAAAATAATGAGAGAGAGAGAAGAAAGAATGAAAGGTGATGAAGAAGTCCCCACAACTGCCTGTCTTCGCTCTGGACAAATCTGCCACCTTACAATAATGCAGAAGGCGCTCTGCAAAGGATTCCAAAATAACAATACTCAGATCTAAAACACTATCCGTAAACTAAACTCTCCCTCTCTCTCTCAATCTTAATCTCTCTATGGCTCCGACTTGCTACAGCATTTCGACGCTCAGCTTTGGTTTATAAATTCGTACCTTGTATGATCACATATGTTCTTCCTACGACACCTATCCTCTTTCTCTCTTCTCCTTCTCTAGCACTCGGAGCCGCCTAAAAGCACTTTATTTGTAAGGGCCAGTTAATTTAGTCGCTAAAAAGCATATTTTTTTTTAAAGAAAAGCTGTGGAGTTAACTATTCCAATTATCGATCTGGGTTGGTGTAGGAGGAATTTAAGAAGAAGATGGCTTATTTAGGAGATCAGGGAGAGCAAGCTGAGGGAATTTATTTTGTTTTCATTTAAAGGAAGTGGAGAAGTCAGAGGTACTTATACTGCTGCAGCTGTTACTGTTTTAATGGAGAGGCTCCACAGGCACATTAACTCCTTTGTAAGCCTTCAATTCCACAGACCAATCTTTCCCTTTCGAACTTCCTCTCTGTAGCCTTGATTAGAAACAGGTCGGAGAGGAAGACCAGGAAAATGGAAATCTCATTCAATGCATTGCGACTGATGCTCGAACATAAATGGAGAAGAAAATGAGGAACCTTTCTTTTATTTTTAATTTTTGCTTCAAGCTAATTACTCTGTTTCCACTGTTTTGATGGCTGATTTGGTTAAAGTCGCAGTTTTTGGAAGAGTGCATGGAATCGAAGGAGTTGAGCGGCGCGAGCTCAGCTCTTGAAGCTGTTTTTCATGGAGGGAATAGAGAAGGGAAACTCTCTTCCTTTTTTCCAGCGGTGGCTGAGAGGAAGAAGAGGAAAAGGGTGGCGGCGAAGAACGGCCGGGCGGAGAGAGTGGAGGCGGAGAGCCAGAGGATGACGCATATAGTGGTGGAGAGAAATCGTCGGCGGCTTATGAACGAGCATCTCTGCGCGCTTCGATCTCTTATGCCATCCTCATTTGTGCAAAGAGTAGGAGCTCGATTTTCTCCATCATATTCATCATATGCTTGCCATTAGCTTAATTGATTAAAATAAAATTGAGGATTATTTCAAACTGAGTGCCTGAGCCTAGTTTGCTTCTTCCAACAAATAGCTAGTAAAAATTGAATCTTTACAGTGATCGATTTGTTGACGACAGAATAGGTGATAAAAATCAAAATTTTAATACGATTTACTTTTTGTAGGGAGACCAAGCATCCATTATCGGCGGAGCGATTGATTTCATAAAAGAGTTAGAACAGATGCTTCTATCTTTTCAAGCAGAGAAAGTCAGCCGATCTTCGCCGTCGCCTGCGGAGGATGGGTGGTCGCCAGCGGCGGCCACCGTCAGCAGCTTTTTTGTATCGCCGCAGTATACAGGGTATTGTTTTGGTCTGCGGCGAGCGGATGAAGAGGGGGAGAGCGAGGTGGATGTGGAAGTGACAGCCGTGCAGGGACACGTTAACTTGAAGGTGGCGGGGAGGAGGAGGCCGGGGCAGCTGGTGAAAGCCATTGCCGCCATTGAAGAGCTTCGGCTTACCGTTCTGCATCTCAGTATTACTTCTCTCGATGCCGTCTCTGTTCTCTATTCTCTTAACTTAAAGGTCCGTTTTTTCAAAATCCTCATATCGATTCTATTGTTTATTAGCTTAATTTGATTCAAACCCCGATTTAATTAGCTTAATTATGCTCTTAGTGTACTAAATTTGATGGAAGTGAATGGAATCAAATGAAATCATATTGATTTTTTATAAACTTACAAAGTCATCGCTTTGAATATTTTTATTTTTTTTTATTTTTAAATTTCTTTCCTTACTAATCTCATTCAATCAGTCTTCAATGAGCCCTGCATTTATATCTCTCTATTTTTTATGAGCAAATAAGATTAGAGAGAGTCCTCTTGGATGATTTAAGTTTTGTTTGGAATGATTTTCTTATTCATTCTTAAAATATTTTTTTATATAAAAATCTATATTATTTCTAAAATTTTTATACTAAAAAAATTGTTTTAAGAAAATTTTTATATTAAATGGCTGATTTAAAATGCATCAAAAAAATCATTCAAAAGAAATCTTAGTCACATAAAATATTGGCTTTCAGATAATCTCATGATTCCAATAATA